AGAGATGGCTGCCAATCAGTCTAACAGCCACCAGAAGTTTATCTGAGGGAGATTTTATACACACTAAAGAAACATAGGTTTCTGGTTGCTGACTCCTCTCATCTTGCATCTCCAGGCCAGGTGTAGGCTTTAACTTTGCATAGTGTAGAGCACGAGAGCTCTGCATTTGGAAGAGCAAAGCCCAGCTTAACTTGTTGCCCTCAACCTGCAAACGAGGACATGGGTTACACAATCCCACCGGATGGGCTGGTGGTCTCTAGACTTAACCCAAAGCAAGGCAGACTGCTTTGCATCTTCCTTCAAGTAAAATAAAATATTTTTCACTGCAGCATGCAGATACCATTGCCAGATTTTGTTTCTGCGGGTAGCTATTGCTTTTTTTCCCCTCTATAAATCTAAGGTCTCTGTACTCTTGCTGTACTCCTGGTGGTCCGGAAAGTGCTGTGCCCAGATGGCTGCAGAAGAGGCTAACAGAGACTGGACCTCTCTTAAGTACTCTCTAGTACTTAGCAGTGAGCACAAAGGATTGCCCATCTATAATTTTAATTCTGCAGTGTTTATGCTAGTTTAAAAACAAGCATCAGTCACAGCAGCCTTAGCATGACCTCCAGATTGCTAGAGAATACAGTACTGTAAACTGGCTCAGGTCTTACTCCAGTTTTCACTTGGCTTGTAATCTCTGTCAGTGAAAAATTGTATTGGAAGAGATGTAGTTTAGGTTTCTTTACCCTGATACAGCTACAGTGACCTTCCTTCGAAGGCCCCGCAGCACTGAACTGCAAGGCTGGGCTGGCTGCTCCGAAGAGGGCACTTTACCCAGCCACAGCCAAAGGCTGGTACGTACAGTGGTGGTGTCGAGAGAACAGCTTGTTTTCATGGGAATAAAGCCAAAGTGGCTATGGATTTATGGGGACACCACAGTTTTGCAGAACTCTGTCAAGTTTTCAGAAGGAAGGGGCTGCTTTGCATTCAAACACTTCAAACCAGTTCAAAACAATATTTATAAATGTTAAAAAATACAGCCTTGAGTGGTGTACTGGGAATCAGCACTTGGAAAGGATTTTGAATGTCCTGATTTAAATTAAGGATTTCGGCATCTTCTGTGGCTCTTGAAGTTTTGAGTCCTTCAAAGTCAACCTCCTTCCCATAGGTTAAAAGCCTTTTCTGGGGAAGCCTGAGCCACTCACACTATCACAGACCTCCAGGAGCTCCCAAAACAGTCCCATGAAGGGTGAGTCCAGCAGGATGGACCAGCAGGAGGGCTGGGTGCCAGCTGCCTTTCCAGGAAAGCAGCCCTCTTCTGTCCCATCCTGAGCTCATCTTCCACAAGTGCCACCCCATGTCCTCCTCCCCACACTGTCTGTCCCCTCTCTGCCCCACTGCCTGTCCTGCCTTCATACCCCTGTATATACCCTGATACAAAATTCCCCTGACGAAAAACAGGCTTGCTGCAGAGTTCCACCAAGAGCCTGGCAGTCTTTCTTCTCCAAGGTGAAAAGGAAGGAGAAATGGCTCTGTGAAAACAGCCAAATCAAACAGCAGCGACCCTAGCTGGCAGCCAGCTCTAACAGTTACATAAGGCATGGCTGTGATCCCAGCTCATAACGTGGGTCACTCTAGAGGGGACACGACATGTTGACAAAAGCCACAGGGCTATATGCTTTTGTTGTTGTTGTTATATATATATATTTTTAATGGCATGTTATGTTTAACCTCATTACTTATCAGAGCATTTTTAAAATTTCAGTACCTGATGCTGGAGGTGACTTTTGAGGAAGTTGCTGCCTGACTTCAAGGGTAAGCCTTATTTCAAGAGGAACATGTGCATGCATGCTCCTGTCACACACACATGTGGAAGGAAACCAGAAGTCTGTTGTCCACATCAGGTAGATGACTCCATTTCATGTAGTTCATGTCACGTTAGGTTCCTTTAGCTTATTGTTGAATAACAAGACAGTGGTATTTGAAGGTTACCAGGAGGGTTGTATGAACCCTCCAAGCACCACTTCCACCTTTGATGTGGAAAGCAAGAACACTGCCCATCAGACAAGGGGGAATTTCAGTCCTTACATATTCTGCTATCTTTTTCTGCCTGGTACAACTACAGTGAAACCTAACCCCTCATTAATGCATTTCATACAACTGAATGCCTTTGAACATCGACCACTGACAAACAAAAGCACTGTTTTTTGAGAGAGCAGTTTAACAATAGCTAATGATAAATACCCCTTTCCTACACAATAATGCCAATGTGACTTCATTTTAAAACAGAACAATCATCTTCAGAGATGAAAGCATAGTGCTGGCTTAGTGCCCATACAATTCTTGCTTTCTCTGCTAAGAGTCCCAGTCAACTAGTGACAGCTGTGATGGTGCAGTTTACACAGACATACGTCTGCTGTGAGCTGGACCAACATGAAACCCACGTTTTGTGCAGCTAGGAAAACCTAGCTGCAGCTAAGTACGCCTGTCTGGAAAGGGTGGCTCTATGGGACAAAGGATATTACCTGACATGCTTTCAGTTACTTGAATGCAAATTTCCACAATTCCATCACAACTTTTCCCATAAGATCATTCCCCCAGCACACTGCATGCAAACACCATTCGTGTGGCAGAAGCAGCCCTAGCAGTGGTGGTAGCACCCCCATTAATTAGGCCTGACTTGATGCGGATGAACCATATTATTGGTGCTCAGAGAAGCGTGTTGTGGCAGCATCGTTACTTCACCAACCTATCAGGGAAGGAAATTTTGCCTCTGAGCCTACAAGAGGAGGAATTTTTTTTTTTTTTTTTTTGTGTGTGTAAAGTAAGAGCCAACTACAACTTTTTAACTCCTGAGAAATTATGCTCTCCTCATATATCATATTATTTTAATGAAGACACCAGGCTCAATACTAGAGAAGAGAATAGATCCATACATAACAGGCACCCAGCAAAGGGCATATCCATTGTTGCTTACAAGTATTGTCCTAATGGAAAAGAACTACTCCAAGCGGCGTGTAATTAGAGAAGAAGGATGCAGAGTATAACCATTCATTACTGTAACAAAAATTTGCTGTGGCATGTGATTAACCTAAGAAAGGCATGATGATGATCTCACCATGTCTACTCTTGCCTCCTGGCTATAAGAAAGACAACTAATGTGAATAAAGAGGCTGGCAGCTGAAACAACTGTCACTGTGGCTTTTTTAAAATAAGTTAAAAATATCTCCCCTTCTTCCTGCCTCCACCTCAGCGCTTGCTTCCTGTTTCTTCAAGTTCTCTCTCTGCCACGCTGCTGACTACCATTGACAATAAGCACGCTAAAAGGGACAAAACAACCTCCCTGGTTCCTGCTAAACACCTTCTCAAAAAACATGAGAGGAAGCAGAGTGTGCTACAGCTACTTTTTGTCTGATGTGCTGAGGCTCTGCAGGAAGCCAGAAGCCATCAGTGTTCAGAGATAAAATCGGAGCAATCCACTGGTGTGTATGTAACGCTACTAAAGGCTCCTTTGAGGGCAGTGACACAAACCTGTACATTCAGTCAAGGACTCCAACCTGCTCACCTCAGTCACAAGAGCTTACAGTATGACTGTACGTGAGGCTGTTACAGGAAAACTCTTGTCTTCCTGTTACAGGAAAAGCTGCTGTCTTGGTCTCAAACTCCTTTCTTTTTCTTTACCCGAGGCTATATACTTTATTTTGAACTTAGACCGTGGTGGAATTGGACCAAACCACAGACAAGTGTGAGATAGCCTCATTCATTATTTTTATTATTCATTATTATTATTGTAATTGACTGCATGTGGAACATGGGGAGGGTAGGAAGCCAACCAACCAAGGATGGGATGACACATGTTAAATGGCACCTTGCAATGCCTGGGAAAACATTTGTCATTGTTTTTTTATATCAAAAAAAAGACAGAACAGCTTAACAGCGTACACAACGGAGCATCTATCTGGACTTCCAACCACCTAACCAAAATGAAGGCAAATACTAGATAAGAACATGTTGGGAAACTTACACCTATAACTCACACCACATTTTCTTCCATCTCCACCCAGAGCTGACAGACGGTGTTAAAAAAACACATCTAAGAAAATCTCCCAGATTACAGTGACTACCACCATGGCATATCTGATCAAGTAAAATTGAGGGGAAAATGTTCTGGCTCTTACCTTGAAAAAAAAGGTGGCTTGGTACCAATACTAATTCTGTATTGGTAAAAATAGACCCCAACCTCACTAACTTTGAGTCCTGAAATCCACTGTATGACCTGAGAGCTCTTCAAGACAAAGAAGTTCTTAAGTCTTCTTCAGCTATCATGTGGATGTGCTTGAACAAAGAAACCGTAGTGATTTCTGTGGGTAAAGAAGCCAACTCATTCACAAAGTCAACACCACAGCCTTTCTGCAGCAAAGCAAAGCACCAACAGCTGTGCTGTACAATGGCTTATTTTGGGAACAGCTTGTTATATGTAGTCTATCCCACAGGTGTCTGATGGTAATAGCTTTTCAGAATTGCTCTCGCAGCCAACACAGGTGCATAAAAATCTCTCATACTTCACAATTTCAGGAACCATCCTCCTTTCTCCTATTAGATTTGTCCCCTAACAATGGATTATTCAAAACATGTATTTATATCCTTAGATTTGATGTGCTTCTATTCTTCCAGCCCCACCAAGGGAGGTTAAGGAACCCACCTGCCTACAGTTTTTTACACTGCTTTAAACGTGGATTTTCATGGCCTTAAGAATAATTTCATTTTCTTCTTCCAAATTCTCAGAAATCACAAAACTTATAAGATAAATTTGACAAATTCTTATTTAGTGTCTGAGACTCAGGAAACCTCATCTGTGTCAGAACCAAACTAAAACCAGACATACTTCCTTAAGACAGCAAATATTAAAGAGATAGCAATGCAAAATCTGGAAATTAGTTCAATAAAACTCTCTTCTCAGCTATTTTACAGTATTTACAATTTAACTGCACTGGAAACAGAGACCCAGCATGTCTTACCTCATAGTTCTCTTCAAAGCTAATAATAATATCAAGAGTCAACTACTGGAGCCATACACAAGCCAAAATTCTGCCTATTGCGACATGGCACAGTGCCCTAGCCCTCTGCAGGGCCATGCTGACTTACGCCAGCTGTTGCAACATCCCCACTCCTGTCATGGGTTAGGATTTTCCAGACCTAGGGTTTCTTCTGGATTTCTCATTTCTACTGGATTTGAGTCAGGGATATTTAGCCTTACGTTTATCACCTGAGTGAAACAACACACACCATGAGGGAAGGACTGGTGAAGGACATCAGCTTTGATTTGAATTACTGCCCCTCAGGGTGGTAGCAAAATTACTTAATTACTATAATTAGCACTAATTGAAACAGTGGCTCAAACAAGATATATGATGTCTGGGTTTAGCAAAGTCTCAGGTGTCCTGCAACTGGCTGCCTCAACCACCTAGCCAAGGCTACGTCCTGGGCAGTGTGACTGGCACTCACCATGCAGCTACCCCTGCATGTACCATCTCACCCTACACACTGCTGCTTCACAGTAAAAGAGCAAAGCATACCTCCAAGAACTGATAGAGAAAAGAAAGAAAAAAAAAGTTGAGATGTTACAGCGCAATTATTGATTTTATTAGCTAGCACCCTACTCCCTATGTTGGTCTGCATTCCTCTTTGGAGAAACAAATTCCTCTCTTGGAACAGTTTCAGCTGCCCTTGCTCAGATTGCCAGCATGTTTAACCTGCAAATCTTAGAAGTGAGTGGAGGTCAGGCTGCACCTTGCCAGGGCAGCTGTGAGCAAGCAGGGCTCTGTGACAGCTTTGTCCTTGTTTCCAAGTCAGCTGGAGGGCGTGAAAACCAATCATTCACAGCTTAGAGCGTGATTACCGGACTTGCATTGAATGTAGATGCCTGATGCACAGATGACTACTTGAGGGAATGAGAAAACACACAGCAACCCTTCAGACAGTATGAAAATCCAGGCAAGATGATTTATTTCCACATGGGATCTTCTTGAAGATAAGTGCTGGATACTTCACCAGCTGTGGATGCACAGTAGGCTTCCTACCACAATTTGTTTTCTCTGACATCCTATTTATGGACACATTTTCTTTATTACCACAAACTAGGCACACATACATGATTGCAGGCAGATGTACATATAAAAATAAAATTTGATGTATGCTAGTGTAATGACAGGCGTCCTGCATAAACAGGATGATTGAAGCTAGCCTCTGAAATCAAATAAGTCTGATTCTCAAAACTGCTGAATAGCCAGAAATACCAGTAAAGCCAGCAGGAATCAAAAGCTGCTCAATATTTTTGAATTCCTTTTAGTTCCTTTTGTTTTTGCTCTTACGTAGGAAATCCCAGAAAATATTTTACCATTTTACTGGATGCTATATATGGGCATAGAGATACCTACAGGCAAAGAGGAGGAATTGAAACATTTTCTATTTCATATTTAGAAGCTAATGCAGAAAAAGATCACAGAGAAAAATATGATATATAATCAGTGTCTAATGCCAGTGATTTAACAACAGAAGAACTTTCTTCTGCATCTCTTCACCTACTCCTAAAAACTCTTTGCAATCATTAGCTTAGGAATCTGGCTTTAGAGATCCACTTTTTAAAGACTATCAAAAATATGAAAAGGGGCATCCCCTTGCTGGATTACCACCATACATCAAGTCTTGAATCCATACAGAGGTGAAGCAGTCTGATACTTTGCTCAAGCACAAACTATAAAAAACAAAAAAAGTGTACAGAATTTGCTAGTGCCAGCATTTGCAAAAACAAACACACACACACACACACAAACAACAACAAAGCCTAACAAATGTCACCTTAAAGATGAACAAGCCCTAGGAAGGTTATCCACTCAAGAAAAATACTTGCAAACAATTGCAGATCTGTATGTGTTCATACTAGGAGGTAAGCACTTCTGAAAAAGGCTCTGTTAATGTCCCTGCTCTTCAGAAAATTTAGGATGACTGTAGGATCAAATTGGATGGATGTTTGATCATGGAGAGGATGATGTCCAATGTGAACAGGGCAGCAGGTGGTGAGATACTCAACAAGTGACTCTACTTGATTGTCTCTTTTCTTCTTAAAGGTAAGCTGCTTCTTTTCCCCAGAGCAAAGGGGGCAATTTGTTCTGAACACCTTCTCCTATAAACTTGGTCTGTGTGCAAGAGCAGGGGGACACAAAACAGACAAAAAGGAAATAGAGCAAGTATGTGAGCAGAGAGTCAAATAGTGGCAGAGGTATAAGATCAGGCAAGTCCAGACTACAGAGCTAGGAAACTAAGAGATTCATTAGGTTTTCCTTGTATAATTGTATTATTTAAAACTTAGGCCTCGCCCAAGAAACCCAGCTGTCACTAAGGTGAGGAGTCTGCCATATGACTTCCCCTCCAGACCTGCTCAGTGATATTCCAGATCATTACTGCAGCTTCATCCTCACTAGCTCAGCGCTGTTCACTCTGGCACCTAATCTACTCACTTATTAACAGCCACAAATCACACTGGAAAACTGCTGGGTTTATACTATTACAAGTCAACAGGAAAAAAAAAAAAGTCTTTTCAAATGCAGACTGCTGTGGGAGGTGGTTAGAGAGAGACAGATGTTCAGCTAGCACTGCAGATGGGCTGGAAAATCCCACATCACTACTTCAAACCTTTCACCCTTTTCCTCTCCCAGGAGGACAGAAAACTTTTTTTTTTTTTTAAATCTTTATTTATTTATTTTTTTCCCCCCTAATGTGTGTGGACTTTGCCCTTGGATTTCAGGGAAAGGCTGGAAACTTGCTAGCCCCTTGATCTTTTCCCTGGGCAGCAACTAGATTAAGCTGCTCAGCTGTTAGTTATTTCCAGGTTAGTGTGCCTCACCCTAAAGTTTCTCACACAAAACTGGAAAATGAAGCTAGTTTAGAAATGCTGATTCTTGTTACCCTATCCTTCTCCCACATGGACTCAATGACTTGATTCCACTCATTACACAGGCTTATCACTAGAACAACAAAGTGAATTTCAGCTTGGTAAGAAGGCAGTAGATGATAAGAGGCAAAGGTGAGATCTGCTCACTTACAAAAAGAAGATATGCAGGAGAAAGTTGGTTGATTCATGTGATAGGGAATTTTGTTGTCCCTCTGTGTCCTCAACCTAGGCTTGAATGGTCTTCCAGCACTGCCTGCCCATCTGTCACTTGCTGCATGCTCCTTGCCAGACCATTTCTCAGCCTCATATAGCTCAAGGCCAGGAAACTGTTCACAAAAAATGTATGCTTTTAAATGATGTTTTGCACCATGATATATCATCCTTCTGAAAGACAGTTTCAATAGTGTTTAAGTATTTGTGAAGGTGACTGTAGTCACACTTCTTGCTACCCCACGTTACATACTCAACTGGAATGTCATAAACATTCCTCTGTCTCTGATGGGTATTTATTCCATTTTCTTTTTTTTGCTGTTGTTAAAAATCGTAGCAAGAGCCACAATACAATCTGCTAGAAAACAGGTACCTTTGCACTCTTGCTTTCGTTCAAGATACGTGAACAAGTTGAATCATAAACCATGTCACAAAAGGTTCAAGGAAAACTACATAAAAGTGATTGGAAAACTCCTTTCTGCAAACAGACGCAGAACTGAGAAGGTCATCACAAGACCTCTTCAGTGTCTTCTTCTCTGTAAGTTTTCTTTCTGTGCATTTTAGCATTCTTTTGGGAGTTCATTACCATCAGTTATCTGCTCTTTGGGATGGCAACATTGTTCTGTACAGGCCAGGAGCACTTCAGGACCATCCCTAAGGACTTTAGAGGACAAGAATTTAAAAGGACATTCTTCTGGCAGAATGAAGTACCTCAACTAAATATTCTGCTCATTCATCTTTAACTCATCTGCCCTAATTTCATTCTGAATCAGCTGCCTACAGACTGGATGATTGAAAGGATGTTGTTGTTTGCTTTCATGTCAGAATGACAACTATGGCATTTGGAAAAAAAAAAATCACATCTATTTAATCTCTCTGGTTGGATACTGCTATTAAAGGCTATATTTATGCCTCAGATAAACTTCAGCAGCTCCATTGATGGGGTTTGCATCAATGAAATTACAGACTTTTACTAGGGTCACATTTCACTCATCTAATTCAGGTATTGTTTGTTTGTTTGTTGCTTTTCTGAGCAGTGTTTTAGCTACTGACTAATCTGATTTTTACAGTAACAGGTATGTCTTTGCTGACTAGTTTAACTCATGTAGTGGTTAAAGACTAATTTGATTGCTGAAGTTAGATTATATAACACATTGAAAAAGTTGAAAGGTTTAAACAGACAAAACATGAGACAAACTGAAGGTGAGTAGGTGGGATTCAGGCTGTGTTACTGGGGAAGCAACAACATGTGGGTTGTCTTGGAGCATTAGTGCAGATGGAAGTGGTGAGTAACAGCAAATAATGCTTATTACACAGCTCACTATCAGGGATCATCCTATCAGAAACTGAATGGAATAGAAGCTTTCTTTCTAGTTAGCTACTTACCAAAACTATTATTAGCTTTGTCCTCATTTTTTTCTTTCTTTCTTTTTTTTTTTTTTAATTTTTTCTTTTTTCTTCTCTTAAGTCTTTTTGAGGGGTGGCTCAAACAGATAATTGTGTGGGCTCTCTTCCTATCATCTGCCTGTTTGGGTTGGCTGCTGATAGGAATGTCTGCTCACATGAAGGCACATTGCTTTGAATGTGACGGACACCTACATGTATGTAGGAACCTACCTAAAAAAAAATCCTGTGTGCTATATTATCAATACATTCAGTCCACTTATCTTTTTGTTAGGGAGCGAGTGTGAGTGTGCTTATTGTCCAGCTCTTTGGCAAGCCTTCTGCCACCTTCCTGCCTCCTCCAGCATGGAAAACTGTAATTCTAAAATAGGTCATTTTATTATAAAAATACATTTCCCAAGCAGCATTCCCCTGAGGCACTTCATAATAAGAGTATCTTTTGAATTGGATAAATATTGTTCTGCTATTTCCCAGTATCAACTGCACATATTTCTATGATAATGGCCCAGCATGGTCTAGCTGGAAGCAACTTTCAAAGTACACCACTTAATACGGGAATATTTCCCAGGGAAGGCTTCTAGGCCTTATGATGGGATTATATCTGGCTGATTTTATTGCTCCAACAATAGTAAAAAGTGGCCCCATGACTCAAGGTTTGAATTGTTCCCCTGAAGTTAGCATATACACTGAACTCGGTCAGGAGGTAATGGCCACCCTCCTCACCAAAGTGAGGACCACCTCTGCGTTAGTTTGTATGTCTGATACAGGCAGGAGAAAGCTGATTGTCCTTTTCCATTTCTTAGGCATCAAGCCTAAAAAATTAAGGCTGGATTCATTCCTGAGTGTCAAAGAGCACAAGCAGCTAAATTAACGAAGTTAATCCTCGTTTGTTCGAACTTTCCTCTGCTTCTCCTGCTGGAGTTGCCTTACTTCTCAGGAAAAGAAGAAATAGGTTTTATTCCTCAGTCATATTTTGCGCATCCTCATGCATTTCTAGCACCATCAGCCAAAACTATAAGCTGAATTCAGTTTTACGAATCTTATGTTCTTAGGTATGAAACATAGGAGAACATGCATTTGCAATTCATAGCCCTAATGCTTCTCGCATAAGCAGGACCACATGAAGAACAGGAAGGCAAGCAGGGGCCTGAAGGCTTGGTCACTTCCTCCTGCCACAACCACTGACTGGGGTGATCCTCAGAAATATCACTTACCCTTTCTGTGAAAATGTCTTTGGTGCTCTAACCAAGAATCGTC